AAAAACTTTTAATACTATAAAATAAATATTTAGATTTCTAATCTCCGCTAAACTTAAAATCGACTATATAAGTTAATAGTTTTTTAGATACTTATAGTTTTTCTATTTTTAAATACTATTTACTATTAAGGGCGTACTAAATTTCTCTCGATTATTTATTACTATAGACGCGTATACGCTTACTAAAATAGACTTAAAATTACGAATTAATATATATAGATATTATTAATTAATAGATTCTACTCTTACTTTTAGCTTCGCTTTCGGCCCTGGCCTGTCACGGTTCTTAAAAGGAAGAAGTTAGATTGGTGAAAAGAGGTTGTACGGGTTGCGGAGGTTAGGCCGCAACGGAGGACTATCTACTGTAAGGAGGTTACGTGCCCCACGTGACGTCACACGGGTGACTCGACGGGTGGGCTGTGATACTATCCCCCCTCCTTCCCTCCTCTAAACGAACTCCGTGAGTCTTGACATGTACCGTGTCGCATGAACATTGCGGAAACTGAGGAATCTTTAGGGTCCGTTTCGCCACCATCCTGTAGAGGTCCTGTCCCTAGTTGGGTAGGTTCTAGTACGTGAGGCATGGGGAAAAACTTATGCTATTATTATCTTTATTCCGTAGCAAGTGGTTGCTGGCACCGTGTCTGTGATAGTTGAGCTCTCCCTTTAAATTACCTCGTCATCCGGTTTCCAATCATCGGGTTTCTTATATAGTTTGTGAGGGCCTGGCTTGCTCGGGTGCTTGTAGTGGAAGTCGGCGATGTGATAGGGACTTCCCTCGAAGTTATGCTATGGCTGCCAAGTCGGTCTCTCGTTGTGCTGAGGATCGCCTTCGTAAAGTGCCTTGTATTGAAGACTCTTCCCCCTTATCCTGGAGTCGATGATCTTCGTCACGAACCACTCCTTTTGAGGTTCTTCTTTACCTTCACGCAGGATCTCGACCGGCGCGGGAGGATTATTGGTCTGGCCCGGTAGCGTCTGGGTTTGGTCTTTGTGTAATAGCTAGGGATGAAAGACGTTGTGCATCGTTATTTGTTCGGGCAGCTTAAGCTTGTAGGCTGCCCCGTGGTTTACAACTTCCTGGATCTCGAAAGGTCCCTCGTTCTTATGGCCTAGCCGTCCTGACCTCGTAGTCTTGAGATGTCTTGCGTCTAGCCATACCTTGTCTCTTTCCCGAAAAGCGGGTGCTGGCTGACGCGTCTTGTCCTTTTGTTCTGCCTGTTTGGTTTGTGCCTAGAGGATGGCTTCTCGTAAGTACCGTTCCGTCTTCTCGACACGTTTGATTACGTCGTTAGCCTTGATCTCCCCGTGCTGTGGCTGGTCCGGTGGTGGGAGCAGTGCTATGTAGGGGTGATGTCCACGGTCCGTAAAGAACGGGGTGAGACCGGTGGTCTCGCTAGGATGGTTGTTCGCTACTAGCTAAGCGATTGGGAGTAAGTCCACCTAGTTATCTTGTTCCCAATTGACGAAGGTCCTGAGGTATTGCTTTACGAAAGCAACCGTGATTTCCGACTGTCCGTCCGTTTCCGGGTGGAAAGATGAAGATATGATATGTTTGGCATCTATCCTCTTTATTAACCTGGTCTAGATCTTGGAGGTCCACTGCGTCCCCCTGTCGGAGACGATCTTCTCCGGAAACCCGTCGTAGGCGACGATAAACCTTATGAAGGCATCCGTTACTTCTTCGGCTTCCAGGGAGGTGAGCGGAATGAATCGTTTCCCTTTGGTAAGCCTGTCCACAACAACTAGGACGTGTTTGTATTTAAGGCCTCTCCTCTCGCAAACCGGGAGGTCCTTAGCGAAATCTATGGTGATTTCTTTCCATTTATGTAAAGGAACTGGCAAGGGTCGTAGAAGACCCTGATATTGCTCCCGGAATGACTTGTTCCTTTTGCAAGCATAATAACTCCTAGTATATTATTTAACGTCTCTTGTTATACCTTGCTAAAAGTAGGTCCGGGCGATTAGCGTATACGTCGGTTTCGCTCCCCCGTGTCCTGCGTTAGCAGGGTCGTGGTGGATCTTGATGATGCTGGTCCTTAGGAGCGGGTCCGCTGGAATATATAGTTTTCCGAAAGCGTACAGCTTGTTGTCCTTGACCTCTAGGTCCGATAGGGATAACTTGAAACCCTTCGCTAGGATCTTTGTGGGTAGACGGAGCTGCCCTGTGCGCTTTGCTTGCATAACTTTCTGAATAACTGGGTCCTGTGTATATGCTTTGTCGATCCTTTCCTCGATGGATCTTGTATCGGTGTTTGCTTCGGTGGGCCTTGCATCGGTAATTGATCTTGTGTCGATGCACGAGAGATTGTCGGCTACCACTTCTCCCTCTTTAGAGTCGGATAATGCGCCTGACTCGTCTTCTTCGGAGATGATCGTTGGTTTATCTTCTTCGAGGATGATCGCGGCGAGGGTGATTGCTCTCCGTATTTCTGGTTCTAGTTGGTTGTCTTTGAGTAGAGTTTGAAACTGGTGCTGGGTGCGAGCGTCTTCTACCCCCTCTGGAAGGTCTTGCCTCCGTCTCGTGAGGCTGTCCGGTTTCTCTCCCTGCTTTCCTGGGCGGTAGGATATCTTGAAGTTGAACTCCGAAAGGAATTCCGCCCATTTGACCTGCCGTTTGTTGAGCTTCTTAGTCGTTATAAAGTGCTTAAGGTTTCGGTGGTCTGTTAAGACCTTAACCGGGTCCGATGGGTCCGTGGAGGCTAATTCTGGTCTCTATTCCTCGAAGGCTCGGACTATGGCTAGTAGCTCCTTGTCGTAGATTTCGTAGTTGTACTCTTGAGGCGACATCTTCTTAGATATAAACGCTATAGGTGTAAGAATGCCGTTTACTATCTGGGAAAGAGTGGCTGCTACTACGTAGTCCGAGGCATCGGACTCCATCTACGTCTTCTTGTCCGGGTTAAAGTGGGCTAGCATGATGTCTAAAGAGAAGGCGCCCTTGAGTTTGTTGAACGCTTCGTCGTAGGTAACCGTCTATTGGAAGGATTTCGTGTTCTTGTTATTCTTCTTTTTGGTGGACCTAAGCTTCGTGAGATCCGTAAGAGGTTTTGTAATAAGTGAATACCTCTTCACGAATCTCCGGTAGAAGTTGGTGAATCCGAGCCAACTAAGAACGTCGCGGACACACCGCGGCGTCTTCTAGTTCTTGATTGCGTCGACTTTGGCCGGGTCCATACGCACACCCTTGGTGGTGATAATGAGATTAAGGTATTTGACTTCTTTGGCGAAGAACGAACACTTGTCGATGTCTAGCTGTAGACCGTATTCTTTTATCCGGGTTATGATCTTCTTTAGGTATTCGGCATGTTCCTGTCTGGTCTGCCCACCGAAATTCAAGATATTATCCAGGTAGGCGGTGTAGAAGTCGTCTAGGTATTCTCTTAGAGCGTCGTTGATATAGCTTTGAAAGGTTCCTGGTGCGTTGTATAGTCCGAATGGCATTACCGTGTATTCGAACTGGCTATACCTGGTGTTGAAGGTAGTCTTCTCCTTATCTCCTTCCTTGATTCTGATACGGTTGAACGCGGCGACTACGTCGAGCGTAGAGAAGAACTTGGACTTGTTTAATTTGTCTATTGTTTCGTTGATGAGTGGTATCGGGTACCGGTTCTTAATCGTCAATGCGTTTAAGGCCCTGTAATCTACGTAGAATCTTAGACCTCCTCCGGGCTTCTTTGCAAGTAATACTGGGGCTGCATATGGTGACTTGCTGCTCCGGATCTATCCTTTGGCGAGGTGCTCGTCAATGTATTTTTTCACTGCTGAGAGCTCTTCGCGGGTTATTGAGTAACCCTTTTGCCAGGTCGGTTGGGCTCCCTCTTGTAGTCGGATTTCGTGATCTCTTCCGGGCCTCCTGGGAGCGAGTTCATCGGCAGCTTGCTTTAGGAAGAGGTCTGCGAAATCCGAGAGTTCTGGTGGGAGTCGCTCGCGGATCTCTTCCAAGGTCAGCTTCTTTTTTAACTTTATGAACTTCTCGTAATCGTTGACGTTCACTCCGCATAATTGTGTTCTGTCTGGGTCCAGATCTTCTGGGACCAACATCTAGACGCAAGTTCCTTCCTTCTGGACTTCTGTGAGGAAGTCGTTGGCTCCCAGCCAGTCGATATCCTCCTTTCCCTCCTCCCTTCTTTGCTTGATCGGGGAGGTCTCTTTCTTCTTCTTGGGGTTGGGGCCAGAGATCCGTACTGCCTTGCCCGTAAGACATTTGGCGTAATAGTACCTTGAGTTGAATGTGAGGCTCCTGGTGCTGAAATCGATCTCTGGGTTGTGTAGCTCGAACCACGGCATTCCGAGAATGAGGTCTATACCCTTGGCGAGGTTTATGACATACGCTAACATCTCCTTAGTGTGTCCTTGGAGGTTGAAGGTAACGAGAGCTTGGTGCGTGAGCATTTCGTTCGTTACTGTTCCATCGGCCAAGAATAGGGGCCTCGGTTTCTTTATCGTTAGCGTTTCTAGTCCTAAGTTCTTAACCAACCTTGGGTCCACAAAGGCGTAGGCAGAAGCGCCTGTGTCGGCTAAGTAATTGACATTCCTCCCTCCCACTTCTCCTATAAGCGCAAAGTGGGTGCCGTCTAGCTTTCCTTCTAGTGCGTATCTTGACACGGATAACTCTCTCGCGTCGTTTGTCCCTGAGTGACGACTTCCTCTTAGGGATTGCTATTTCCCTGATCGTCGTCGCTGGAAACTTCCCGCACATCGTGGTCCTGGTTCACTTCCATCTTATTAACGGTGATATTCAGGCTCGGGGTAATACGCTTAAGCTAATAGCTCTTGTCGTTCCTTATATAACCCTTCTAGTGGCAAGCGAGACATCTACCTTCTCTTCTATACTTGTTGTTAACTTTAGCGCCTTTCGGCAATGCGTTGCGGTAGGTTCTTAGTTCCGAATCGGTTATCTTGTCTAAAGGTTTGGAAGATTTACCGAGTTCTCCTCCTTTGTAGGAGTTACGTGGCTTAGGGTTAGTAGAACTAGTAGACGTAGGACTGTTTCGTCTGCCTCCAGACTTCGTTATATCACTTTTGAACATTATGTCGTATGTCTGGAACTTATTGTCTAGTTCCCATAGAACTCTATACAACTCAGGGAAGTTGTTGATGGGTCTCCCTGTAGAGATCTTTGACAAGTAGCGCTTCGAGAGGGATTCTCTTAGTCTCTCGCACTTCTCGATCTTATCCGGGTCAAGCTGCTGGATCGGGGTGATGAACTTGGTGTAGAACTCGTAGAACTTCTCGTTATTCCCTATCCTCAAGGTGCGCAGTTTGTTCCTGGCTTCGAGCCTTAGGTCTTGCGGAGAGTATATGGCTTCCAACTAGCTGATCGCTGCCTGAAAGGTAAGTGGGGGTTTACCCCTGCTCTGGCGCTTCTCGCGGGCGGTGACTCCGAAGGTAGGTCGTAAGCTTTCGTGAACCTGTCCTTCTATAGAGGTAAGAAGGTAATCGATCTTCTTGTTGTTATCTCCTCTAAACCAGGCTTCGTAACTCTTTATATTGATGAGGAGTTTCTTATACCACTCCGGGTATCTCGAGCGGTCCTTTCCGTTAAAGGTATTAGTCTTGGGTGGTCGTTTGGCATGAGAACCGTTCTGGGAGGTGATATTCGATAAGGGCGTCTCTGCCCTCTCCCTCCTTCTACGGTTAGCCGGGAGGTTCTTAGAGTCGGAGTCACTGGACTGATCGTTGGGGAGGTCGTTCCCGAGGAATCGTTGGAGCTTAGGATCGTTATTATGATGTTTCGCCCTCCCCTTGGCGTCCCTTTTTAGCTGCCTAATTAGCGTCTCGTCTTTGTCGTGCTGCTCGACTGCCCTCTTCGCGGCTATCTTGACCTTGGCATGAAACTCGTCGTATTTCTTTACGAGTCTCTTCTTATTCTCCTTGCCTTCGTGGAGTTGTTGGGCAAGTTCCCTGATCTCGAGCTCGAGTTTATTGATTTGGTCTTGAAGGCTAACTGCTAAGGCGCGGTAGTCTTCTTTGCTCGTATTAGCTTTTTCGAGCTTCTTCTCGGTGCTCTTCCGCTTCTTCTTCTCTGTTTTGATGACTTTGTTGCGTCTCTCCGTGCGTAAGACTTCTACGGCTACCTGCCTTACCGTGTCTTCCTGAAAGACTTCTAACCAAAGGATGGTGTTATGGAGATGTAAGAAGAATCGAAGCTAAACTTCTTCGTCCTTGTCAATTTCGCTCTTGAAGTCATCGGCGTTTTTGAACTTTAGATCCTCCTCGTTGTAGCCTTTGTTCGGGAAGTTCTCGGTGAACTACTCGAGGTGGTCGGAGAGGTTATATACGTGTACCGTGGTCCCGTCATCCAGGGTTTGGGTTGTCTTCTGAGAATTATCGGGGGATTTAACGATTGCACTTCTCCTCCGGTTCAGGCGATCTTGCTTCGCCTTCCGTAGAGTCTGGTATTGGCTATCGGCTCGCTCCTCGACTTTCTCGATGACACTTCTGACGTGTCCTAGGACTTCCTTAATCTTACCTTTAGAGAGATCTTCTTCTTTACCGGAAGGAAGGATAGAGTATCTCTTCTTTACTTGATTATCGCGTGTCTTAGGTCCCTTCGGGAGTCTCGAAGAGTGAGCTGTTATAGAGTGAGTTTTCGGGTTGAACGGTGAGTTAGTGAGAGGAGGGTTAGCGAAGGTGATAGCTGGTGTCTTCTTGCGTGGTGGGGTTGAACTCCCAATGTTTATAAAGCGCGTAATGTTATTATCGGGGTCTTCGGAGTGATCAGAATGATCAGAGTGATCCTGGTTTGAGAGGTGACGCTTGTTACGACGCGCGTTTTCGGGTGGGAATTCTCTGCTATTGAGAGGACTAAAGCTTCGTCCTGTTATATTCGTTGTTGAGTTAGTACTACCTGATTGTCCTACTATGATTGAGGTTGTAGGAGTGAAGGTTGTGTAGTAGTGTTTGGAGTAGCTTCGTTCGTGGGCGCGGTTTTGCTTCTGCGCCGGGTCTTCGCTAAGTGACACGTGGTCTTGGCACCGTAGGTCTTCGAGCGGTTTCTTCGAGTTTCTTCGGGGTGACGTGCGCGCGTTTCAGTGACTTCGGTCGCGCGATCTCAGTGAGGTTGCTTCGTTGCTCAGAGGAGCTCTTCGGGGCTTCGTAGAATCGTGTAAGCTGCTTATAAGCGGTCGTCTTATTCGCGGCTTATACGAGGCGGTACAACCTTGTGTTACGGTTCTTAAAAGGAAGAAGTTAGATTGGTGAAAAGAGGTTGTACGGGTTGCGGAGGTTAGGCCGCAACGGAGGACTATCTACTGTAAGGAGGTCACGTGCCCCACGTGACGTCATACGGGTGACTCGACGGGTGGGCTGTGACAGGCCCGTCCTTCTAAAGAAATAATAAGATCTAAAAAAAATAATACTAAAAAATTCTTTTATTAGAAGACGATAAAATCTAGATATAAGAGAATTCTTCTTATCTCTAACTATAGCGTAGAGAACGCGTTTATTACTATTCTATTCTCTTCTTTATTCTATTATATATATAGCTTTTCGATATAAGTTTTATTAATTAATATATTAGCGATTAAGGCCGGCTAGCGCTAATCTACGTATAACTAAAATAATAGTTTTTTTATTATCTAAATATAGTATTATATCTAGTTAGTTTTTATTACTATTTAAAACTATTAATTTTATACTCTACTTTACTTTAATTAATCGTAGCCCGCTCTATTCGCCTAAAAAATAGACTCTAAAGTTATTAGTATATTATTATTTATATTTTATTATACTACGCTTACGTTATATAACTACTAGACTAAGTTATATTTTTTCTACTACTAGCCGCCGGCGTATTATCTAATACTATAGAATAGATATTTAGATTTTTAATTTCTACTAAACTTAGAGTCGATCGTATAAATTAACTATTTTTTAGATATTTATATTTTTTCTATTTCTAAATACTACTTACTATTAAGAGTATACTAAATTTCTCTTAGTTATATATTATTATAGACGCGTATATACTTACTAAAATAGACTTAAGATTATAAATTAATACGTATAAATATTATTAATTAATAGATTTTATCTTTATTCTCGGC